GATTAAAGGTGTGCGCCACCAATGCCTGGCTGCTTTCTTTTTTGTTAAATAACATTTTTTTCATTTATTTCCTGTACCCACCAGTTTCCCCTCCCTCCTCTCCTCCCATCCCCTTCCCTTCCCTTTCCCATGTACTCCTCTCCCCACCCACCCCTCCTCCCTCTCCATTCAGAAAGGGACAGGCCTCCCATGGGCTTGCACAAAATAAAAGCACATCAAGTTGAGTCAGGACCAAGCTCCTCCCCTTACTTTGAGGCAGGGCCAGGTAATCCAGCCCTGAGTCTTTCTCTCTCTTTCCCTCTCCCCCTCCCTCCTCTGTGTGTGTGTGTGTGTGTGTGTGTGTGTGTGTGTGTGTGTTACTAGAGACTGAACCCAGATTTACACACATTAGGCAAGTGTTTTATTTTATCACTTAACTTCATCCTTAGCCCTTGATCTAGGATTTTTAACAATGAGTAAAATCTCAGGCTATCATCACACTTTCCATACTCTCTCCCTACTTCTCTGGAGCACTTTACAAACTTTTAAAAAGTTGTATTTTATAGTTTCATGTGCATGGCTGCTTTGCCTGCATATATATGTGTGTGTACCACGTGGGTGCTTGGTATCCAAGGAGATAAAAAGAGATATTTGCCAACTCTCCAGCCCTCCTCTGAAGCTTTTAGAAGTATCTTTTGAGCTGTAACTCAGTGGTAGGGCATCCACCTAGCATGCATGAGGCCTAAGAGTGCATCCTCAGCACTGCAAAAGGGGATCTTTTATAGAAAGAAAATGAAGATTTTTTTGTGAAGAAAGGAACTTTTATGAAGAGAAAAACTTTCCCGGGAGAAGGGTTGAAACCTCTGGTTACCCTTTGAATATGTTAGAGGGTGGACAGTGGCAATCTTATATGATTAAACCTAAAAGAAAAAAGAACTGAAGCTAAAGGAGGGGTGCGTACTGTGGTCCTGAAGAAAAGATGTACTGTATTACAAAAATCACTGTAAGTTTGCACTGTACTGTCATTCCAATCCTCAGCACAAGGCAGATTTGACGTTTACCAGGGAGGCAAATGACTTAGAGAAACGAAGGCGATGTTTTGAAGATCGGTGAAGTTTGAGGATGTTACAAAGCTGTGAGAGCCGAAAGGATGGTGCTGAGATAACGCTCAGCTCAGACATAGAGAGGAAAACATGTACTTACTATGTGGCGAAAGTCATATCACAAAGTAGTTGAGAAAAGAAAGACTTTTAAAATGGTGCATAAGCAATTGGCAAACTACAAATTCCGAATACATTAAATGTTAAGCATTAAAGTGGTAGTAAAATGTATTTAAGGAACACACTGGTGAATAACCATAGAGTTAAAGGTTAGGGATTCAATTCAGTAGTAGAGTCCTTGCCTAGTATGTGTGAGATTCTCTATTATCTAAGCACTGACTACAAAGGAGTATATGGGTAGACCTTTAAAACACAGAAGTAAAGTTACAAACAAAAATGTAAGAGCAAAAGTACATAGTTATATAAAATTTCAAAATCTATACACCATAACACATAAACAGAACTGGAAAAGGTGGTATATGCCTGTAACCTCAGCAATTAGGAGGCTGAGGAAGGAAGGAAGACTGCCACAAGTTTTATGCCAGCCTGGCTACATAGTGAGTTCCAGACCATCCTGGGTTATACTGTGAGACTGTATCTCAAAAACTTCCCACATAAGCACCGTCAAGCTAAATGTTAGAAGATATGATATGGAAGACAATGTGCAATGCATGACAAAGGTTAATACCTTTAATATGTAAAGATCTATTACCAATCAATAGGAAAATCTAGATATCTCCCAAACTGGCAAAGGGGATATAAAATTATAAAGACCTGCAAGGGGCAGCTGTGAAAAATGTACAGCCTCACTTATAAACATTGAATTTAAATTAAAGCAATGTAAGCACATTTTCAGCTATTGGATTCACAATGACTTGAGAAATGTCAGTTGATGTCGGTGACAGGAATTAGATCACTCTCCCTTACTGCTGGTGCAAATGAAAGCCTCTAACTTTTTTTTCCTTATTTTTTATTAGTTCAAATTAGGAACAATCTTGCTTCACATGTCAATCCCTTCTCCCTCTCCCTCCTCTCACCCCCCCAAAGCCTCTAACTTTTTGAAGTGTAAATTTCATTAAGCGCCTGGGCAGTGGTGGCCTTTAATCCCAGCACTTGGGATGCAGAGTCAGGTGGATCTCTGTGAGTTTGAGGACAACCTGGTCTATAGGACAATCAGGACTATATAGAGAGACCCTGTCTAAAAACAAACAAACAAAAAACCAGAGAGAGAGAGAGAGAGTCTGGAGAGATGGCTCAGAGGTTAAGAGCACTGACTGCTCTTCCAGAGGTCCTGAGTTCAATTCCCAGCAACCACATGGTGGCTCACAGCCATCTGTAATGAGATCTGGTGCCCTCTTCTGGCCTGCAGGCATACATGCAGGTAGAATGTTGTATACAAAATCTTTAAAAAAAACCAGAGAGAGAGAGAGAGAGAGAGAGACAGAGAGAGACAGAGAGAGACAGAGAGAGACAGAGAGAGACAGAGAGAGACAGAGAGAGACAGAGAGAGACAGAGAGAGACAGAGAGAGACAGAGAGAGACAGAGAGAGACAGAGAGAGACAGAGAGAGACAGAGAGAGACAGAGAGAGACAGAGAGAGACAGAGAGAGACAGAGAGAGACAGAGAGAGACAGAGAGAGACAGAGAGAGACAGAGAGAGACAGAGAGAGGACAGGGAGGGAGGGAGGGAGGGAGGGACAGAGAGAGAGACAGAGAGAGAGAGAGAGAGAGAGAGGGAGGGAGGGACAGAGAGAGAGACAGAGAGAGAGAGAGAGAGAGAGAGACAGAGGGAGGGAGGGAGAGAGGGAGAGAGGGAGAGGGGAAGGAAGAGGAGGAGGGAGAGGGGGAGGAAGAGGGAGAGGGAGGAGAGAGGAGAGACTCTGTGTGTGTGTGTGTGTGTGTGTGTGTGTAGCTCATGCTTATACTCCCAGGACCTTGGACCTTGGAGGCTGAAGCAGGAAGCTCTTAAGTAGTTTGAAGCCTTTCCTGGGTTACCTGGGAAGATTAAGGCCAGCCCTGGCAACTTAGGGAGATCTTAGTACACACAGAAATGTAAGGGCAGGGGATGTAGCTCGGTAGCAGTAGAATGCCTGTCTAACTCTCGAATGTCTTTGGGTTCAATCCTCAATACCTAAAAATAGGATGCTTTCTTATGACCTGTACATCAATTTCTAGGAATATAATGTGAGAAACACATTCATTACAGTGTTGTTATATTTAAGAATTGGTAATAGCCTCATTATTTAAAAAGTGAGAAATTTTAACTATTTCTAATACATTCATATGGTGAAATAATATTTGATAATTAAACACTTAATGGCCTGGAGCTGTATCTGCTATGTGATAAGTGAAAAAATCAGGCTACTTACTTTTATTTATAGTCTGAACACAATTTCCCAAAAAAATCGTAGATACGAATATATGAACATACATAGAAGAAAAACTAGTAACTTATAATCTATACATGTTGGCCTAAGAATAATTTATTATTTTCCTACTTTACTGTATTTCCTTAAATTTCTCCAACATGTACATTACTTTTTATTTCGGTCAAACATACATAATGTGCGATCAACCAAATTAACCATGTTTTAATATGTGCATTATTTTTTTTTTTTTGGTTTTTCAGAGACAGGGTTTCTATGTGTAGCTTTGGAGCCTATCCTGGCACTCACTCTGGAGACCAGGCTGGCCTCGAACTCACAGAGATCCGCCTGCCTCTGCCTCCCAAGTGCTGGCTGGGATTAAAGGCTTGTGTCACCAACGCCTGGCTTGCATTGTTTTTTTTTTAAATCAGAAGTTATGTTCATTTTAAGTAGTACTAAGGAGACTCTTAAATTTGTACCTGCACTACAGTTACACCAACGTGGCAGTGGTTCATCTGGACAAGGACAGGAAAAAGGCAACCTAGACAGATGATATGTTTTGTGGATCGGAATAGCAGAGAGGAGTGTCGTCATATCTGAAGATAGCATTGGTAAGTCAAGTACCTTCAGGTTTTTTGACACTGACCAGACTGGTCAAAGAATACTGTAGCAGGGAAACAGGAAGTGGGGAGGAGCATTGAGAAACTGGAGGGACAAGTCGAGTCACATGGAGAAACCAACTAGTGGGACTACTCATTTCAAGTTGCATATGCAAATGACCCCAAATTCATTTCCACACAGGGCTTCAGGAACACAAAGATCATATAAGACATGCCTGTGGAGTGAGCAGGGTTAGGGGGAGGCACAAAACCGACAGTCTTGCTTGGATTCTGATTACCCACATGTGGTTGTAATCACTGCCCTCATGATATAGCAACTGATCAGATTTGGTTTCATTGATAAGAATTTAGGCTAAGCTACTTCTTCATTTTGCAGTCTTTACTGTTTGCTTTTGCTTTTGTGCTCTATACTGAACTTGCTTCCCAGGGTAATTGTTAGGACAGTGCATGGCCAGTTGCACTAAGATAGCACCCGTTTATAATGCAGTTTCTTTCTGACATCCCTCGCTGTTCCATGGTTCTTAGTTTATTTTAGTTCTAGCCAGTCATTTTTACTGTGGGAAGGCACAGTGAGAAGAAAGAGTGCTATGTCCTCCTTGTGGTGGCATCAAGAGGGCAAGTTAGCAGGTTGCATTCTGCAGTGTCCTTTTCTGGTGTTGCAGGAAGGAGAACTGAAAGTGATGTATTCAGGGGCCAGGAAAGGAAACGGAGACTCATATGGAAGCTTTCTAGAAGACAGCTAGTTGCCCTGAGGTCAGCAGAAGGGTTGGAGCCTGCACAGTATTTGCATAAGCAGCCCTGAGCTCTGTAGAAACATAGCCTTAGTGGTGGGCTGTAGGGCAGGATGGGGATGGGTGGAATCTACCGTTCTTTGTGGTTACCTAACTGCAAATGCTTCACCCCTCCCCCCCATTCCCATCCTCCGTGCTCCGCACCTGCATCTTTCTCTTCACGGTGTCAAAGGCAAAGGAAAGACTCTGGCTCACAGCAGCAGCCATGCAGCCATTGGCAAAGTTCTGTAGCTGAGAGAATCGTTCCCGGGGTCCATTCCAGATTTTCTCCAGATTCATGTAAACTAGAAGGGAGCCAGCAGAGAAGGGAACCGCACCTGGGAATCAAGTACAAGCAGAGGTTGTTGTCAGGAGGAACCACTGTCTGGAGCAAAGGTACGCCTACGGCGAATGTACAAAGGGAATAGAAGGCGCTGGGGCTGCTTAAAGTCCTCCCAGCTAAGGAGCAAGAGGGCATGTTCTGGGGGTGAGGTGACAACAACATATGGTCAAGATGCCTGAATTGGTTCCCTCAAAGTTGGTTCAGTTTACTGCCAATAAATTGTACATAAAAGAATGATAAGCAAATCTTGAGAGCTGGGTGTGGTGACACATACCGAAATCCCAGCAGCTAGGAGGTGGAGGATGAGCAGTAGTTTAAGTTCATCCTTACCTATCTAGCAATGTTAATGCCAGCCTGGGCTACTTGACTGCATGAGATGCTGCTTCAGGCAGAAAAAAAAAAACCCTCCAGCCAGATGCTGAACTTGGGTTTGTGGTACAGATGTTGAACAGTTTAGGGGTGAAGTGCACTGGTGTTTGCAACTTACATTACAATCACCAAAGAAGCAAGTGGTGGTGGCACATGCCTTTGATCCCAGCACTTGGGAGGCAGAGACAGGGGGGAATCTTTGTGAGTTCAAGGCCAGCCTGATCTACAGAGAGAGTTTCAGGATAGCTAGGGCCACACAGTGAAACCCTATCTCAAAAAAATAAAAAAGAAAATCACCAAAGAAAAAGATGGGCTGATGAATGGCTCTGAGGGATGCAGAGACATGTAACAAAGTAAAAAATATTAACTAGGGTCTTCAGTGAGTGTATAGTTATTTACAATTTTAGAACTTTCCAGTGTGTTTGAAATACAAAAAGGAGAAAAGAATGAACAGAAACACAGGGGGTGGAGTTATTCCCATAGTACTGAAGAGATAGATATCTCATAAGTTAAGAGTACCTACTCTTGCAGAGGATCACCTACACCAGGTGTTTCACAACCACCTGTCACCCTAGCTCCAGGGAATTTGATGCCATCCTCTAGCCTCCAGAGGCACTACCACTCATGGGCACACACCCACCCACCTACCCACCCTCCCAATTACAAAGAAAATAGAAATCTCTAAAAAATCACTTCCATAAAAGAAGTTAACAGGCAGCATTTAATCCAGTTTGGAGGCTAGAAAGGGGCTGTTCTCTAGCGCAGAAGGAAGCATTCTGTGACAACTGTGGCCATGGAGGTTGCCTGACCTTGCTTGGATGTCTAAGGGCCCAGTTAGCACCATACACTGTGGTATCCTCACCTTCCTAGTAACTAAGATGGTGAGCAAATAACTCACTATTTGGTACTCTCACAAATTTCCAGAAACTTTCAGAGCCATCTTTGGTTTACAGGTGGACTAACTTGTCCCTCAAAAGTGAGATCTGGGCTAGAGAGATGGCTCAGTGGGTCAGAGTACTGGCCATTCTTCCAGAGCATTCAAATTCAATTCTCAGCACCTGCACTTGTAACTCCAGTTTCAAAGGATCTGCCACCCTCTTCTGGCCTCCATGGGTACTGTACACATGTGATAGACACGCATGCAGGCAAACACCCCTACACATAAAGCATAAAGTGAAAAATACAAAAGGAGATCTACAAATGGGATCCAGCTGGGGATGTAGCTCAGTGTAGAGTACTTGCAAAGATCTAGGTTGTATCCCTAGCACTACAAAAAGGGAGGCAGAATCCAAGTGGGATATTACCTATCTTTAGGTAAAGGCACTATTTAATAAACATGTACTATAAATATATTAAAAATGACTCACCAGATTTTTTTTTTTGGTTTTTCGAGACAGGGTTTCTCTGTGTAGCTTTGGAGCCTATCCTGACACTCGCTCTGGAGACCAGGCTGGCCTCGAACACACAGAGATCCACCTGCCTCTGCCTCCCTAGTGCTTGGATTAAAGGTGTGTGCCACCAATGCCCGGGTGACTCAGTCGTTTTTTATTTTTATTCAAAAACCTTTGGAGAAGCAATAGAGAGGCGGAGGCAAGACAGTCAGGAGTTAAAGGCCAGCCTTGCCTACACAGTGAACTCAAGCCTAGCCTGCACTACATTAGACCCTGTCTCAAAATAGGAATTGAAGGATCTTTTGCTGTGTGTTGGGCCCTATGCCAGGTTCTGGGACTACAACTCAGAGGAAGTTAATTTCTGGAGATATTTACCATCAAGTGCAGGAGATAGCTAGGGAATGCTATTTATGACACTCCTGATATGTATATATAGTACATATCAAATATGTACAGATAGTTATACAAGCTTCTTTATATACCTAAGTATCAGAATGATTAATTTTGCCCAGAAGAACCAGGAAAGAATTGACAGAAAAGAGAATTATCTCTGTCTCTCTGTGTTATGTTAGGGACTGAACATAGAGTTCCAACCCACTCTACCCACCATTACCCTTTTAGCTCTTTGATGTGGGTCTCAGCAAATTGCCTAAAGTTATTTGAACTCTGGAGCCCAGGTGGGCCTTGCACTTTCACTTCCTCCTTGAACTTGCACCTTCTAAAGCTAAGGAGGGATTATAGGCCCAACTCAGCATGTCTATAGTCTTTTGAGACAGCAACACTATGTAGCCAAGATCAGTCTGGAACTCGATTCACCAGCCATAGCCTCTAGAGCACTGGGATTGCATTATTATATGCATGAATCATCAACTTGGCTTAGAACAGAGAACTTTTGAAGTGGGTCTTGAGCAAAGAATAGGTCCATCAGACCCTGAGAGAATGGAAAGGCAGTCCAGGCAAAGGCTGTATGTGTTTTCATACCCAATGAATGTGTAGCTCTAAGAAGCACATGGGTTTCTGCATGACTTGAACATGAAAGCAGGTAGACACATGCTACAGGCTAGGCTTGAGGTAGGGTAGACTGGCAGAGGCCAGTTCTGAGGATTCAGAACGCCGTAGGAATTCTGGCTTTCCCCCTTAGCTTTTAAGGATTGCAGTGGAATGAGGGCAGAACATTTGGAAGGATCATTATAGCCAGGCAGCAGTACACAGGGCACACCGGACACAGGGCCAGAGATAGGAACATGAGTCTTCAGGAGAGTCTGATTCTCTAGAGTCAGTAAGAAATATGACAGCTTCATGAGCTAAGGCAGAAGAGGGACTCCTACATTAAAAGAGGTCAAAGTGACAAGGCTTAGTGACTGAGTGGGAGGAGGAACCAAGGTGATTCCTGAGTTTCTTCGACATCAGATTTTGTCCCCAGGGAACAGGGAGGCCAGCATTTCCAATAGAGGGATGGTTCCACTAGCTACTGGCATAAAGTAGCTATGGAGAAGGTCCCAGAATCGCAGTGTATCCCACTGCCTGTGTGACCTTGGGCCAGTCATGTAGCTTTCCTAAGCACCTACTTTCTCATCTGTAAAATGAAGTCTAAGAGGTTGTTCAACAGGCAAAAAGTTAGCCCTGGTAAGGTGGCACACACCTGTAATTCTAGCACTCAGGAAGCTGAGGCAGGAGGATCAAGAGTTAAAGGGCATCCTGGACTGCATAGCAAGTTCCAGGCCAGTTTAGGTTACCTAATGAGACCTTGTCTCCAAAGTTGAAATAAACAGTGAAATGTTAGATATGAAGAATTAGTGGCTGTGTTCTATTGCGCAACATGGTAACTATAGTTAATAACAATGTATTGTACATTTTAGAGTAGCTAGAAAAGAGATTCTTGATAGGAGAATGGGGGAACTCACATCAGAGAAATGATAAATGTTTGAGGTGATAGATATGCTAAGTGCTCTGATTTGATCAGTATGGAATATGCATGTATCGAAATATCAAATATATCAATCAAAAATAAAAGGGCTGGAGAGACGGCTCAGCAGTTAGTGTGCTATGTTCTTGCAGAGGTCATGAGTTTGGTTCTCAACATCCGGGTGAGAACATCCATCCAATGTTCTTTTCTAGACTTGGTGGGGACCCACATTCCTGAGCACATACCTCTGCATAGAGATATAGATATATACATGTGTGCTTAATAGATAATAAAAGTAAACTTTATGGTGGAGGGAGAGTTATATGTCTTCAAGAGTGTGGCCCTGGTAGGTTGACCATGACCCTGTGGACAGCCCTATACCCATAAGTATGTAGTATATACGGGCAGTACAGATTGGACTGGGTAGCTTGCTAACAGGGAAGGCAGGAAGTTGACAAGGGGGTAGGGAGATAAGGGGGGGCATCTTGGAGGAGTTAGGGGAGGAGTAGGGATATGATCACAGTACATTATATGAAATTCTCAAAGACTTAATAAAAATTATATTAAAACCTAAGAACAAAGATAAAAAATTTTGAATGAGAAATTATAGGCAAAGCTTCTAGAAAAGTACTTAGTATCCAGTGAGTACCCCTAAAATGTTAGCACTGTTATTAAAGATATTAGGAGTCAAAATATACTCATGCTTGTTGAAACTACTAGCTTACGACAGAGCCATCTAGAGAGGGGATGCAGGATAAGAAAGCCAATGTAGAAGGCTGGGGATGGTGATATGTGTTTGTAATCTTAGTACTTAGGAGGCAGATGTAGGAAGATCTCTGCAGGTTTGAGTCTAGCCTGGTCTACATAGCAAGTTCAAGGCCAGCCAAGGCTACATACAGAGTAAGACCCTTTCTCTTAACAAACAAATACACACAAACACAAATGAAAAAGAAAGACAACATAGAGGGTAAAAATAAAACTGAGGGAGGTTCTGGGGGCCAAACATAAGCAAGCCGACAATGTCAGATGACCCAAATGGGCCAGGTACATTGGATAAGAGAGATCTGCTGGAGAGACATGAAGACACCCAGGAGACAGTGGCACCCTAGAAGCCAAGTCTCCAGAGGACAGGGTGACTAATCTCATCTAGTACTATATAGGTGGACTAAATCCTCCTGGATTTGGCAAACAGAGGCCCTGTGTATGTATAGCTCTGTCAAAGGCTATAGATGTCACTGAGATCCTGCTGTGCCTGATGCTGGATATACACACTGAAGACACCTGTCAGCTGGGCAGTTTTGAGGGTGGCTTTGAAGCCCCACTTTTCTGAGTCACTTGAATTGTTTGACCTACAATCTTGAGGCCTCTAAAATTGATTTAAGTGTTCATGAAGGTATATAACACTTTCACTTGTGTCAAGAAGAGGTATCAAGTTCCACCTTACCTAAAACAGTGAGGGACACCCCTCGATAGAGGGCCAGGAACCCTTCTTGCTGATAAATAGTAGAAAAAGCATGGGTAATCCCCCTGTAAGATGGTTTCAGCATGTTTTGCACAATCAGCCGGGTTTTGATGAGGTCTGTAGGGTATGTGACAATCATGGAAACCATGCCTGCCAGACTTCCGGCCACAATGGAGTGCCACTGGGAAATATGGCCCAGGTCATCCATGAACAGCACAACAAACCTGGGGAGAAAACAGAAAGTTCTCAAGATATGAGCTTTGGATTATGCTAGCATGCTTTACACCATTTCAAATATTTCCTAGCATTTGGAAATGCTTTACAATGTGAAAAATATCATAGAATTATACTGGGATTACTGAGTAATAAATTTAAATTCTACTAGCCTCATATAAGGCTAGCTAGCTATAAAGAAGAACTGTTCAGCCTCTGATCTATATCTTCCCTAAATTCTTCCCACTTTCAGCATTTCCCCCTTTTATCCGTGTAGCCATCTAACTTGCTGGTGGGCTGTAAAGGCACAGAAGCACTTGGCAATTGCTACACTGGAATGCAGTCTTTCCATATTCTTGAAATTTAAAGGGGATAGAATTTCCTGAAATAACCACAAAATCCAGAAATTTCACTCTTCCCCAGCACAGAGAATGGAATCCAAAGTCTTCCACACAGTAGGTATACCTTCTGTTACTGAGCTTCATGCCAAGCCCAGCATCCCAGAAATTGAGGTCTGAGCCCCCAAATCCAAGCCAGTATCACCTTTAATCATAGACACAGGGCTTTGGCTTCCCGCAGAAGGTCCTACATCCTATCCCAGAAATTGAGTTCTGAGCCCCCAACTCCAAGCCAGTATCAACTTTAATCATAGACACAGGGCTTTGGCTTCCCGCAGAAGGTCCTACATCCAGCTAGCTGATTAGGCTATAATGATTAACTAGCTAACCTACAGTGAGTTAGCTGATTGGATGACAAGGTTGCCACAAATTCAGCTGTTTTCAATACCTTGCTTCCCTCCCCTTCCCCAGAAATGCTGACTGTCATATGGTGGGTTGAACTTCTTGGAAACTCCTTGGTTCTGGGAGTTGTCTGATTGGAGAATTGTGTTTGGCTTGGTTTTGTTCAAATAAGCTCTGCTAAACTTAGTATAATAAAGAATTCATTTCCTTTATAATGGCAATTACAAGTGAAGCTGCTGTTTTCTTAGTTATCAGAAAAATGACAAATAAAACATGACAAGGCTGGGCGTTAGTGCCACACCCCTTTAATCCCAGCCCTCGGAGGATCTCTGTGAGTTCGAGGCCAGCCTGGTCGACAGAGTGAGTTTCAGTACAGCCTCCAAAGCAATACAGAGAAACCCTGTCTTGAAAAACCAAAAAAAAAAAAAAAAAGAATGAAAAGTTCCAACAATTAAATGTCAAAATGTAGGGGAATGCAAGAAACAATGGCATTGTCATTCAGTGGATCACATCTGGCTAAAATGAATGTGCTTAGACAAATCATACAAACACAAGAAATAAGCCATAAAAGCATAATGATGAATGAACAAAACAAGCTGCAGATGATCTGTAGTATATGACAATCAGAAACAATAAAACCCCTAAGTATTGTTTCAGGTAAACAGGTACTTATGAGGAAGTATAAAAGTCAACCCTTGGGAAAGGGGAGAGGGCCTAGGACCAAGAATGAAAACGAAGAGGACTCTACCTTCATCCAGGCTTTATTATATTTAAGAGAGTTACATGGATGGGAGGTCTTGTCGCACAGGCCTGTAGTCATGGCTTCTTGGGAGGTTGTGGCATTAGAAACCACAATTTGGCTTGAGGCTGCTTGGTCAAGACTTGCATTCAAAAATGAAACAAGGGGACTGAGGATGGAGTTCAGTGGTAGCATGATTATTTAGCATGCGCAAAGCCCTGAGTTTGATGCCCAGAATTGCAAAAAACAAAAACAAAAGCTAACCAACGACCCCATACACCTTTCAACATCAAAACATTTTGGGTTTGGTGGTATGGGCCTGTAATCCCAGCATTTGGGAGTTTAAGACAGGGGAATCTTGACTTTGAGACCAGTGTGGGCTACAGAATAAGTTAAAGGCCAATCTAGAATACAAAGAGAGACTGTTTAAAAATAGTATGTAAGTTGTGGACAGTAGGTATATTGAGTGTTTGACAGACTATTCTTTGCATTTCTCAGTAGGTTTACAATTTAGTTAAAATTACTTTGCATGGACTTTTCTAAACGCAAACCATAAACTACCCTGTCATAAGCCTTTTTATGGTGGGGAGCAGGGCATCCCCAATTCCGAGTGCCTACCCCAGAAGAATATTTACAAGGGTACGTCTACATAGCACACCATTCCAGGCTACAAAAAGCAAGTTACTTCCTTAGTGATGAGACTGGGAAACTAGGAAAAATAGTACTTCCTGCCATAGAATGGTACAAGGATACTGAGAGTTTGGAATAAAAGTGAACAGAGTTGGGCTAAAATAGTTTTTATCTTTTTCAAAATGAAAGTATCCCCAGTTCTTTGGCTCTCAAACTTCCAATGGAAGGGTAGGTTTCCTGTTGTTCAGATGACAGCTGGCCTGATGAATAATGAGAGGGCTTTCAGGTAAAACCATCTGAAGCTCATGGAAAACATCTCCTTCAAGGGGTTATTGGTGCA